CAAAGTACACTTTGGGCTTGTGAACAGAGACTTCTTTCAGACATGTTTGTCAGTGCAGACATCCTCGTGGCACATTTCAGTCAGTGTTGCCTGCGTTTGACTGACAGATGCACCCTGGGCTCGACGAGGCTTGAGACTGAGAAGCAAGTACGCGAGAGGAAACGGACAGGTGCGACTTCATGTGTGATATGAACTGGCGAGGACGGACAGAGTGACGGTAATCACAATCTAACCTCTTTCTCACCTGTCAGTCTTGCTTCAGCCCCGCTCTCGCCTGTCTATCATGCTTGGCTGCCCCTTGTGACAAGAATATTTACCAATCTGCACACTTACTCACTGTAAACATGACATACATCCAGAGCGGCACCCTTTGGGTTGTCACTTCTGTCTTGTCCGTGAGGTCTTCATATGATCGGATACAAACCAACCCCATCTGTCATAGAGGATGGAGCGTGTCGTTTCCATTTGTAGAGCCCTTGCAAACGCACAGCTCTGAACCTCTCAACCATCTTCCTGGACAGTTCGGCACGGCCAGACTTTCCAGAGACTCCCGCCGCTGTTTGACCCTCGTTGACTGGCCCTGGACGGGTCAACGTTTCACTCGTCTCAAACACTCTCGCTTCATCAGGCGAAAACAATAAGACAGACCCCCAACAGGCCGCCACATGCACCCACTCCCAACGGGCCAGCTCTGCGTGAGGTGGAGGGAACCACACTCCACAAGATTTTTATGCACATTTGAGTTCCTCTGCTTTGAATTGAAGTATCTTGGAGCTTGTGGGGATTGTGTACTTACTGTTTGACATTGTTTTGCATTGTGTTTATGGTTTTGTAGACACATTCATACCAAAGCAACTTCTTATAGCAATGTGAATAACAAACACAGCTACATTTTTAAATTTTCTTAAGGAAATGTGGTGTTTGCCCATCTGAAAACTAGATAGTCGCTTACTAGCCCAAGTCCTTTTTTTGTCTCGTGAAAGTTTCATTTTAAAACTTTATCTAATTTTCTTTATTTATTTTCAAGTATTTCAAGTTTTTTTTTTTTTACTATTCATTTACAAACAATATTATAAAATAAAATAATTGATTTATTATTGATTATTTTCATATTTTAAATTTTATATTTGAAAATGTATCAAATATATTTATATATTAAACAGATTTTAAATGTTTCTTTTTACATTTATTTTTTAATGTTTGTTTTTATTATTTTTATTTTATATATGTCATAATATAACAATTATTGGTGGTAGTTATTATTATTATTATTTTATTTATAATGTCATATTTTATTTTAATAAATTGTATATTATTTGCTATTATATGTTTTCTTTGCATAGACAGTTTGCAATATAATATTAAAATGATATTTTGGTTCAATTATATATTTTTTCATCAAATAGTTTTCTTTTTGTTTCTATTAGTTTTTTAAGAATAGCTGGAAGTTATAACCTTGACAACCTCGAACATCGTATTATAATTTTAGCAGAACCATTTTTTCCCAACTCATTCAGTTTTCATTGTCATTCATGTAGTTTCGACAAAACTTGTTAGCCAACAACAGAAGTTTACAACCAAACAGAATTTACAACCAAATGTCACCAAAATGTAAATGTTTTTAAAGGTATAAAACCACATACACATGATCAACAAATGTAACATACAGTGACCGTTCCATCAGCTGGCCCCAAACTCTCTCACTGGCCCCTTGCCAGCAGGCCGTCCTTATTGTAAAGCTCTGAATAATGATAGCAAAAGTGATGCCTTCCTTAGCAGACACCACTAATAATGTTGTGCTATGTAAGGTAGAATTGGATGCGTTTCAAGGTTTGAAGGATTCGTTTAGCATTAGTCAAGTCATTGGGAGGATGTGTGAATTGTGAGAGACTTAATTACCGTCTAAAGTCGTAAGGCTTTGGTAGTCGTAGGTTTGCTGATGTATTGGGAGCCACAAACGAGGATGGACTTGAGCGATTCTCCCTTGTGCTAACAGTTCAATTCCCAGGCCTCTTGTTAGAAGCAGTTAAACTAAGAGGCCTTCCTTCAGAACTAATGAGCCTACACAGAACGACAGACAAAGACACAGAGATTAAAGGGTCGATGTTGAGTTTATACACTCCTTAGCCTTTACCATAATGCAAAAAGGAGATTTTTTTCCTTTTCATCTGCAGGCGCTGATCTCTCTCTCCCCCTGCTCGCACATACATACACGTCTTCTGCCGCTCTTCACACCCCCTCTTTGTGTTCTCTCGGGATTAGCTGGCTCTTGTTAAAAAGAAAAGGTGGATTTCATTTAATGGAGAGAGGGATTTGAAGAACAGACAGGTTTACAAGTTGCCTTTACCTCTGCTTGTAAGGAAAGAGCTCTCTCTACAGCACTAAGCTGTGCCATTCAGAAAGTGTGCAGGGTTTGGATAGCGAGGCACAATGGCTTCTAACTAAACTGCCCATTGTCGACGGTAAAAAACTAACTTTAGCATGATTACTTTAGCTCTTAAAGTGCAATTGTGCAATGCTTAGTGGTTGAACATATGCTGGCTACATTTGATTGTTGTAGTTACATGGTATTGAGAGATGCCATTTAGTTTAAATCTGTGACCATTTTATTTCATATGTAAGTGTATATATACTATATATATGTATGTATGTATGTATGTATATATATATGTTTATATATACACTACCGTTCAAATGTTTGGGATCAGAAAGATTTTTAAAGAAGTCTGTTCTGCTCATCAAGGCTGCATTTATTTGATCAAAAATACAGAGAACACAGTAATATTGTGAAATATTATTGCAATTTAAAATAATGAGTTCATCATCCTAATATGCTGATTTATTATCAATATTGGAAACAGTTTTGCTGCTTAATATTTTTTTGTAACCTGTGAAACCTTTTTTAGGATTCTTTGATGAATAAAAAGTTAAAAAGAACAGCATTTATTCAAAATAGAAATCTTTTGTAGCAATATACACTACCGTTCAAAAGTTTGGGGTCAGTCATTTTAATTTTATTTTATTTTATTTTTTGAAAGAAATTAATGCTTTTGTTAAGCAAAGATGTGTTAAATTGATAAAAAAGTGATAATAAAGACATATATTGTTAGAAAAGATTTCTATTTTAAATAAATGCTGTTCTTTTTAACTTTTTTAACCTTATAATAAACCAGCATATTAGAATGATTTCTGAAGGATCATGTGACACTGAAGACTGGAGTTATGATGCTGAAAAATCAGCTTTGCATCACAGAAATAAATAATATTTTAAAGTATATTAAAATAGAAAAATGTTTTGTGTATTGTTTTAAATGGTAACAATATTTTACAATATTATTTTTTTCTGTATTTTTGGTCAAATAAATGCAGCCATGATGAGCAGAAGAGACTTCATTAAAACACATTAAAATCTTACAGATCACAAACTTTTGAACAGCAGTGTATAAATACTTACTAAAATACTAAAAAGTTTAAAGTTTCCAATTATTTTTATTTTTATTTATTATGAAGAATATATATACAGTATATATAAGTTAAAGATGAATAATAATAATATAAAATAGAACTTTATTTCAACAATTTATTGAATCTTATTTTTAAAGGGGTCATATGATGCTATTTTAAAGATCATTATTTTGTGTATTTGGTGTAACAGAATATGTTGACATGCTTTAATGTTCAAAAAACACATTATTTTTCTAATACTGTACATTATTGTAGGTCCTCTATGCCCCGCCTCTCTCAAACACCTCGTTTTCAACAAAGCCCCCTCCTTTGACAAGCGCAGTCTGCTCTGATTGGGCAGCTGACCCAGTGCATTGTGATTGGCCGAACACCACAAGCACGCATCGGAAATGTAACGCCCCTTACCATAATCGCGAGCTTCAAGCGTTCAAATAAATATCAAGACAGTTAATAATGTCGTTAGTTTTACCATCAGTTCAAGCCCAAAAGGGTGACAGAGTCGCGTGACAGACACAGTGATGATGCAGTACACAAGCCGCGGTTAAGACAGCTGATGTGCTATGATTTCTGACAGGCAGTTCACTCTCCTGTGATGTGACCCTGTTCCCCTCACACACACGACAAGTTACTCTGTGCTGTGCAAAACTCCGCATTTGAACAGTCAAAAGCAAATACTTCAACTAGTAACAAAACATACTTACAGTCGCTGATTCAGAAGTGCCAGATTGTCATAGCAAAGTTGGAATTTACCCTTTTTTTTTTAGAAATAGCCTTTGTACACAGCCAGTCTTGTACTCGTCTAGGTTCAAAAAACTGTCGTCCATAAAAAGCGTTGCACAAATTCAAAAATCTGGGTTGTGCTGTTCTGTTGTAAATAAATCTTAACCAATGATTCCTAATTGCATCTACTTCTGGAAGGCCAAATAAAGTGCTTTTGCTTTCGCACTGAAGCAGCGTCTCCCTGACATGGCTGCATCAACATTACTGCGTTCTTGAAACCACGCCTTCTTTCTTGTGTGCACATTTGGGCGGCATTATGCTAATATTTCCACATATTGACATAGATATGTGGGGGCGTCTTAGAACGAGCCGTTTTAGGTAGGCGTGGCTGACTCTTAACTTTTATAAAGAATATCTCTTTGGATTTGAGACTTTAGTCTTTGCAACTTTACAGATCGTCTTTATGCACCAAGAGCTTGTAACACTCCAAAGAGAAAGGTAAACTTGAAATCGCATCATATGACCCCTTTAAGATATTTCCAATTGCTTCTCATCTTGCATTACCTTAATGTGATTCACAAAGGATACATTTATTTTGATATTATTTTATTTAAGGGTTTTGGATTTTGAAACCTTTCAATGAGACCCGAAGCATTGTTCAGTTCTGCTGGAATATTTGTGAAACTTAACAATTATCTTTGAAAAATCTTTTGATTATGCGGTTGATGCACAGTATTCAAGGGCAGTTCGAATTAATGAACAGGTGTTGTAAAGAATAAAACAGAACACTGAATGTTTCCTTGCTGCTTTGGCAGACCGGACGGCATGGGCACAGTGACAGAACAGGAGAAGGAGGAGTTTGAGGAGATCAGGAGCAGACTGCTGACTTTACTGGAGAAGCAGATCACACATTTCAGGTAAAACAAGCTCCCACATCCACTTCTGTACTGAAATAGAGGAATACCAATAGAAAAAAACAATGCTAAAATCCAAATAATAGCTATGTAATCAAAGCAAGTCATATTATAGTTTTTTTATACAATATAGATGATTTCAAAGCAGCTTGCTTTGAAACGTTGCAGAGTTCATCAATAATAAAATGAATTCGATTCAGCTGTATTGCAGCTCTACAGACAATTGTCATTATCCAGCTCAATTCAGTTCACTTTTTTTGTCATTCAATAGTGTTATTACAGTCAATTTAATAATATTACTGAATATTAAAGGAAGAGTTCACCCAAAAATGAAACTTTACCCTTGAGCCGTCCAAGATGTCGATGAGTTTGTTTCTTCACTGGAGCAGATTTGGAGAAATTTAGCATTACATCACTTGTTCACCAGTGAATCCTCTGCAGTGAATGGGTGCCGTCAGAATGAGAGTCCAAACAGCTGATAAAAACATCACAATAATCTGCAAGTAAGCCACACGACTCCAGTCCATCAATTAACATCTTGTGAAGCAAAAAGCTGCATGTTTATAATAAAGAAGACCATCATTAAGAGATTTTTCTTCAAATCTCTGTTTCTGGCTAAAATATGAGTCCTCTGTCCATTATATTGCTTTCTCCAGTGAAAATGTCGTCTCGTCTGAATCAGGAGAGAAAACAGATCAAGCACTGTTTACAAGCCAAAACCATTCTAAACAAATACGTTAGTGGATTTTGATGTGAGAGGACAACAGTGGATGGACTTTTTCCCTGGAGGAAGCGTTATTATGGATTATGGACTAGTATTTTGGCCAGAAGCAATAGTTTAATGTTAAAATGCCTATACAAACATGCATCTTTTAATTTCACAGGATGTTACCTGCTGGACTGGAGTTGTGTGAATTACTTGTGGATTATTGTGATGTTTTTATCAGCTGTTTGGAGTCTCATTCTGACGGCACACATTCACTGCAGAGGATCTATTGGTGATCAAGTGATATGCTAAATTTCAAATGTTAATTTGTGGGTGAACTATTCCTTTAAGCATGGTCTAAACCATCAATCTTGTAATGACAATGTAATAATAATGTAATAACTGGTTCCTGAAGCCAAACCAGTTGATAACCATTGTATAATATCGCAGTTTACCGTTTACTCATTTACCACACCCCCTCCTCTTGGGTTCTCATTTTGAACCGACCTCCCGCTGGCCCTCCTGTAGAGCACTGGAAACACTAGTAAAGAGGGTTTTAGTCTTGCGGTTGCAGCGACACCTAATAACCAGCTAAAACCACTCAAACAAAAGCTACGAACAACATCTTGGATTATGCAAATGAGTGACAGACAGAGGCAAGGCACGTGGGGCGTGCCGGGGATTAAGCACGGTGCCCAACCCAAGATGATTAGAGCTTGTTGAGTCACTTGGTAAGTGTGCCTCTTGCCCCGCACGCTTGAAAAACACGTTGTGGGCTGTTCAGGGGGAACTTTCACACCTGTGGTGTGAGGCCTCCATGAGAAGCACTTCCCTTTGGGCTTCATTCATCCCGCCTGGCATTGTCCGTACGCACGCTGACACCTGTCCCTCCTCAACAGGCTTTGGAAAACATCTCTATTAAAGAGATGTAATTATTGTCCCATGATAGTTGAGAAACAGCGGTTTGTGACTGACTCCTTCAGCTTCTGCTAGTATTCTTTCTTTTTAAGCCTTCAGTTAATTACCACTCAAGTTTTACTTTTGTCTTCTTGCCCGTAGGTACTGTTTCCCCTTCGGGCGACCGGAGGGTGCTCTTAAAGCCACACTCTCTCTTCTGGAAAGGGTGAGTGTCTGCCAATTAACTTTGCATGCTTTGCATATTATATCCATATCTTGAGTGTACCAGCTTGTGATAAAATAGCTTAAAGTGTAATAAGGGAGTAATTTCTTAGGTTCTGATGAAAGACATCACCACGCCGGTCCCACCTGAGGAGATGCGTAAGATAGTTCAGAAGTGCCTGGAAAAAGCTGCGCTCATCAATTACTCCCAGCTGACCGAATACGCCCAGATCGAAGGTTTCTCACAGAATACTTTTCAGGGCTCAATAGTAAGGTTTTTTTTGGGGGGGGGACCCTGCTGAGCCGGTTGTTCAGACAAGTAAGTGAAAATCCAGTGGAACACCTGCCAGAGTTTTCAGTGGCTCCAGCACAAAAACGTCCACTAATGTTTAAAAGAAATACTTTTATTCAGCAAGGATGCAATAAATATATTAAAAGTGACAGCAATTACATTTATAATGTTACAAAAGATTTGTATTTAAAAAAAAATGCTTTTGTTTGAACTTTATATTCATCAAAGAATGCATCACAATATCAAAAAATATATATATTAAGCAGCACAAATGTTTTCAACATTGATAAAAAAAAATTTTAATGTTTGAAAATTCAGCTTCACATCACTGGAATAAATTAAATTTTAAAATATATTACGATACAAAACAGCTCCTTTCAATTATATATATATATATATATATATATATATATACTGTGTATGTATGTATGTATGTATGTGTATATATATATGTATATATATATATATATATACACACACACACACACACACACACAGTTGTTCGGACCTTATGTCTTGTATTTAGAAAATTGACATTTGAGTCCATGTTCCTCCTGTAGTTTTGTTCATGGTCTTTGTAGTTCCTTTGTTCTTGCTAATTAGGTTCAGGTGTCTCTTGTTTTCTGATTAGTTCTCTTTGTTATTCAACCCAGTGGTTCATTCTTGCCTGTGCGGATTATTGTTTGTACATACCCTTTATGGTTCATTGCTTTGGCTAGAGAGGGTTTCGAGGACACCAAGGCCGCTAAGAGCACAGAGAATGTGAGAGCTGAGGCTGCTGAGACCGAGAACATCGAGGCAGTTGAGAGCGAGAGCGCAGAGAATGAGAGTACTGAGGCCGCTGAGAGCGAGAGCGCCGAGAATGAGAGTACCGAGGCCGCTGAGAGCGAGAGCGTCGAGAACGAGAGTACCGAGGCCGCTGAGAGTGAGAGCATTGTGAGTGAGAGCATCGAGGCAGCTGAGAGTGAGAGTGCTGAGAATGAGAGTACCGAGGCCGCTGAGAGTGAGAGCATCGAGAATGTGAGTACCGAGGGCGCTGAGAGCGAGGGCGCCGAGAACGAGAGTACCGAGGCCGCTGAGAGCGAGAGCACAAAGAATGAGAGTACCGAGGCCGCTGAGAGTGAGAGCATCGAGAATGTGAGTACCGAGGCCGCTGAGAGCGAGGGCGCCGAGAACGAGAGTACCAAGGCCGCTGAGAGTGAGAGCATCGAGGCAACTGAGAGTGAGAGTGCTGAGAATGAGAGTACCGAGGCCGCTGAGAGTGAGAGCATCGAGAATGTGAGTACCGAGGCCGCTGAGAGCGAGGGCGCCGAGAACGAGAGTACCGAGGCCGCTGAGAGCGAGTACTGAGGGTGCTGAGAGCGAGTACTGAGAGCGCCGAGAGTGAGAGCGCCGAGAACGAGAGTACCAAGGCCGCTGAGAGCGAAGAGAATGAGAGAACTGAGGCCGCTGAGAGCGAGAGCGCCGAGAATGAGAGTGCTGAGGCCGCTGAGAGTGAGAGCATCGAGATTGAGAGTACCGAGGCCGCTGACAGCGAGAGTGCCGAGAATGTAAGTGCCGAGGCCGCTGAGAGCGAGAGCATCAAGGCAGCTGAGAGCGAGAGTGCCGAGAATGAGAGTTCAGAGGCCGCTGAGAGCGAGAGCGCCGAGAATGTGAGTGCCGAGCCTGCTGAGAGCGAGAGCATCGACAATGAGAGTACCGAGGCTGCTGAGAGCGAGAGCACAGAGAATGTGAGTACCGAGACCACAGAGAATGAGAGCATCGAGAGTGAGAGCATCGAGGCAGCTGAGAGTGAGAGCGCCCGAGAACGTGAGTAGTGAGGCCGCTGAGAGCGAGAGCACAGAGAATGAGAGTACCGAGGCCGCTGAGAGCGAGAGCGCCGAGAACGTGATTACTGAGGGTGCTGAGAGCGAGAGCGCCGAGAACGTGATTACTGAGGGTGCTGAGAGCGAGAGCGCCGAGAGCGAGAGAGCGCCGAGAACGAGAGTACCGAGGCCGCTGAGAGTGAGAGCATCGAGAATGTGAGTACCGAGGTCGCTGAGAGCGAGGGCGCCGAGAACGAGAGTACCGAGGCCGCTGAGAGTGAGAGCATCGAGAATGTGAGTACCGAGGCCGCTGAGAGCGAGAG